CCCCAAAACCCCAAAACCCCAAAACCCCAGAAATCAAAATGAAGGGATATTTTAATAGACTAAAATAATTTAATAAGCAAGAATGGTTTGTCTAATTGAGTCTTGTGGAATCGCTTGTGTTGCATTCATTTACTGCACTATAGTTATCTCAAATGTCTCATTTGTTAACATTGTAGTTTTGCCTTATCTTTAGAGAGGAGATTTAAGTAAAGGCATTGGATTAATGATATCTTTCGAATTTTTGATAATTATGCTGATCTGGTCGCATATTAAAACCATGACATCTATCCCTGGCTATATTCCTAAAAATCTTCAATGATATCGAAAAAATAAACTTCCTGAAAAGTTTCAGCTTATATTATAAAGCCTAGAAATACAAAATTAATTGAACGAATCATTACAAAATGGTGAAGATCCAAATGAAACTGGGAAAATAGATTAGTCACCAAACAAGCTGGGCAAGCAAATATTTGATGTTAGTGCAGATGAGAATAGAGTTTAGTCAGAAGAAAACAATTTTGACTCCAATATTCTTAACTAGGACTACTAAAGCGTTCAGAAAAACTTAATTAACTAAGATCATGATAATGTGGTTAACTCAGTAATAATTCAAAACAAAAGTCAAAGATAGTCGATCATTGAAAAGAAGAAGAATATCCAAATACTATACTAAAGACTAAATCTTCAACAGCATCAAATGAAAGTATTGGAGAAATGTTTAACAAAGACTTGCTAAAAATGCTAATGCCTGAAACCTCCTCGCGCACATCATTGTAAAATTTGCGGGAGATGTGTTCTTCGAATGGATCATCACTGTCCATGGGTTAATAACTGTGTGGGATACTATAACATAAAGCACTTCCTGTTATTTACAATTTATGTATTTCTGGCTACATTCTACAACTTAATTGCGACTTCTATTTCTAGTATCTACTGCTTATAGGATAAAACTTGTGAGGTGTTCTCTGAGAGTGGAGTTAATTCTTATTTAGGAGTAATATCTGTGATTATGAGCTGCCTATTTTGCTTATTTGTCACAATAATGTTTGTGGACTAAATTAAGATGATAATTTCTAATACATCAAGTAAGATTAATCAATGATGTACTTATTTTAAATTATAGCTATTGACACAAAAATGAGAGTAAAAATGCAAGCAATGAAAGATGATACGGAAATAATTAGTGAATCAACTAATGAAAGCATAAAGCTTGTAGAAACTGAATAAATATCTTCATGGCAAAATTTAAGAAGTTTCTGCGGTACAAGGAGCTTCTCAGTTTTATGGTTTTTCCCAATCACAAATATCTAACCATAAAATATAGAGGAAGAATTTAAAAATTATTAATTATTCATATGATTTTATTTCATAACTAAATTTTATGTTCAAGGGGTTTTGGGGTTTTGGGGTTTTGGGG